GAGTTGAGCGAAGATTTTTTTTACCTTTTCCAGAAGGACCATGTTACATGTACACATGCACACCCAAACACACATATACAGAGCACTACTCAGGCGGATTTGTTTGTGCAGTATAATAAATCTCACCTCTGTTTCAAAGCCTCTTGCATAGTCACTGTTTCCCCAGAAAAACTGAGTATAATGCATCTACAAAGCATAAGGAAACTATGCTTATTATTATTCCTTATTCCTTACCATACTCTGAGGAAGCCTATTTGCTACTCTTCAGATAATGCACACTGTTTTAATCCAATTTTGCCTGTTCTTCAGGTGCGGTTTGTAAGCAGTACCTGGGTTTTTGGAAAGCTGATGTGTCACATAAGCCGGTTTGTTCAATACTGCTCCGTTCATGTGTCTGTGCTGACCCTTGCTGCCATCGCTCTGGATCGGCATCAGGTATGCAATATACATCACCCCTATGTTTGCTAGAAAATAAGGTGCTAAATACATAGGTTTTCCCCCTTCAAATCCCAGTACCTGGAAACCTGTATTGTCTTGGGAATCAAGGAATGGAAGGGAAAACTCTAGCTTTCATGGCAGTGGACAAAAAAACCCACATTTTTTTGCAGCGAGGGTGGTCAAACACTGGAACAGGCTGCCCAGAGAGGTTGTGGAGTCTCTGTCCTTGGAGATATTCAAACCCCAACCAGAAACAGTCCTGGGCAGCCTGCTCTAGCTGGCCCTGCTTTGCACAGGGAGCTGGACTAGGTGGTCTCCAGGGGTCCCTGCCCACCTCAGCCACTCTGTGGAGTACAGCCCTGAAAGCATGGCGGAAATATATTCTGAAGTTCAATTCAAACACCAGCAAGGCAATGCATTTTCTCAGCATTTATTTATGAAGAGTCTTACAATTTTCAGGCTTGCCCCGTTATTTTGGGATGCCTAAGACTGGAAGTAGTGAGAACTGTGTTAGCACTTTCAGTTCAAGTTGAGAACCCCCTGCCCTGATACTTTTTTGGTGAATACCAACCAGGAAAATCTTACAGCTCAAGCAATAAGTGCAAACAGAAGGGTTTTCTTAAAGTATAATACGGTTTGTAATTTTGCTTAAGCTGATAAATACTGTGCACTGGCAGAGCAGATCCTACGAGGTGCGCTCTCAGGCAGACTGTGTATTTTTCTTGCAGTGCTGGTTGTTACTGAAAAGCAATTTCACATGATAAATGACATGGCTAGATGAAGTTCAAAACAATAACGGATTCCACTCTGATCGTCTGGGATGTGCTCCATCTGGTGTCAGAATATTACAGTGACTGCCAGAGTATAGATCATCCATTTCTGTCTTTTTTACCACAAAAAGTTTGGTAGTCTGCCCATTCTATGTGCAACTGGCTGCCTCTTGGCAGCTCCTGAAAGCAAAACATTCTGATAATGATTCATTTTAATCAGTAGATTCTGGGCTGATTGCAAAGTATGGCTAGGTTTGAAGAAGTGTTTCTTTAATTAAGGGCAAACACAATACTGTTTTTAAATTCAGTAGGTTACTCAGAACTGGAATTAGCTAGTATGGCTCAAGGAGATAAAAATAGAAATAAGGAGATGTCACTGAGCAAAGAGAAATCAACACTTGACTCTATAAACATTGCTAGTCCTGAGAGGTACCAGAGCAGACAGATGCTCCAGGGGAGTTGTAGAAGCTCGATTAAGTAGATATTTATAATTAGACTAAAAAAGACATGCATAAAATACCAAAGGCTTCATCAGCCAAGAGATCATTTGGATGACACGATAGGTGTTTTTTGAATTATTGTTTCATCGCCCAATATAATCATCCATAATGCATGTAGCTCAACAGATATCTGACCATCATGATCTCTGAAGCCAAGCTGGTGGATGACACTGAGCCCGTGTCTCTGCTCAGGGCACTGGGTCAACAGTAACACTTAACACTTGTACAACTCTTTCTTTGCATTTTCCAGCCCTTATACTCTCTGAAGTCCTGTAAAATGGGTCTCTCCTTTCTGCCTTTTAACACTGGAAGGATGCAGAGCTGCTGCAGCGCTTCAAACTGCAACGTGAGGCTGAAAGAGCGACCAAGACATTGTCAGATAAAATAGTCCTCCTTAGCAGCAAACACACCTGGACTACACCACGCTGTAGCCAGTACTGCACAGGGTAAACTCTGAATATAAAAGAGATCAGCCTTCAAGTTTGTTAGTGCTATGTTGGCCAAAGATTACATTCAACCATGGTTCTCAAGCATCTTGTCACTTTGTCTTGCAAGTCCACCAAATGCCAAATGCTGTGAGCACCGTGGCTGCCATCTGTATTGGAGACCTTGTCTGTAGTAATTAGGAGCCTTTTTGCATTCCCTATAGCACAAGCCAGAACAGCCTCTTGGCTTTCAACTTGTGCCACACTTAACGTCCATGCTGAGTGTTCCTTGCTGTCCTGGAAAGCACACACGCTGTTTGCTTCTTACTCGGTGATCAGCGTGAAATACTTGCTTGCTCCTGGACATGGATAAAGCAAAGATGTATTCTTTTTTTTTTTTGAAAGCTTGCAGCTCATTTTTATCAATGGAGGACGCTGTAAATCCTCAGGATTGGTTGTTCTCTGCAGGTTATCATGCACCCTCTCAAGCCACGCATGTCCATGGTGAAAGGAGGGATTTGCATCATTATCATCTGGGTTATGGCCAGCTGCTTCTCACTGCCTCATGCCATTTATCAGACTTTGACAAGATTTTATATCGGGTAAGAAATTTACACAGTGTTTTTTTATATGACATATGCAGCTTAATCGAAGTCCCACAGATTCTAAGGCACACATCTCTCCATCTCTGTTATTAAAAAAGAAAGTATGGTGAAACAGAGAAGTCTTCCTTCTCTTTGACAAGGTGGTGTGTTTCTCACAAAAGGACAATGAAAATCAATGGAATTGCTTTCAGGCTTGCTTGTTAGTTGATTTTGGCTCAGAGACTCAGCCCTGTAATTTGAGGCAGGCACAGAAGAGAGGTGCTCTTCATCATTAGAGAGCACAGATGTCAATATGGATTATTTTTTTCTTTTCCTGGGGATGTGTTTAAAATATTTCACTGGGGGAAAGGTCAAACTTAAAGCAAAATTTTCCATTGAAAGTGGCACTTGCCCATGTTACTGAATGACTTCTGCTATCTGTACCTTTACTGAAACTTGTAAGAACGTCCGAGATGTTTGTCCTCCAGGTGTTGTGTGCATCTGGTAGTGGAATTGACAGTTCTTTCTCTCTTCGATCTTCAGGAACAGAACAATACGAATGGTCTGCCTCCCCAGCTTCCCTCCTCCTGCTGATCTTTTCTGGAAGTATTTGGACTTGACTACTTTTGTTCTCTTGTATGTCTTGCCCTTGCTTGTGATCTCCATCACATATACCATGGTGGCCAAGAAGCTCTGGCTGAGAAATGCCATCGGGGACCTCACCATGGAGCAATACTATGCCCATCAACGGAAAAAGAAGATGACGCTGAAGATGCTGATGGTGGTGGTGATTGTGTTTGCAGTATGCTGGTTCCCCCTGAACTGCTACGTGGTGTTGATCTCCTGTAGGGCCATCCACAGTAGCAATGCTCTGTACTTTGCTTTTCACTGGTTTGCTATGAGCAGCACTTGCTACAACCCCTTCATTTACTGTTGGCTGAATGAGAGCTTCAGATCTGAGTTGAAGTCCTTGCTGTGTGTGTACCGGCGAAGGAGCGCAGCACAGAGTCATGCTCTGCAGTCCATCTCCCCGCCTTTCAGGCATGCCTGGGTTGAGAACTGCCATTATAAAAGAGGCAGTGCCTGCCAGAAGGCAAAGGCATCCTCCCAGAGGAACTCCGCAAAGACAGACATATCCAGTGTTCAGCCAATTGTGGCAGAAAGCTAAATGTTTAATTTGATGGCCAGGCAGCATCATGTTGTAATTGCAGAATCGCAGGAAAAATTGAGTTGGAAAGGACTGCTAGAGACCATGTAGTCCAACCTTCTGCCCAAAGTAAGCTGACTTCAACGTTTGATTGGGTTGTTCAGGACCTGATCCAGTCAGGTTTTCAAAAATCTCTGGGGATGGACTGCCCACATGTGGGCTCCAGAACGAGGGGTGTTGAGTGAATTTTTCATCGGAACAGTCAGCAAAAATTAAGAGAATTCTTTAACAGCACACAAAAACTTTCACAGCCTAAGTAAATAAGGGAATCTACGCTGATTATACACACACCAACTGATGCACACTGTTTTAAAGTAGATGGCTGTTTATGCGTACAGAAACACTGTATTGATTCCTTCTTTTTATTTGTTTGTAATTTGTTCAAGATGGGTAACATCTATAGCCATTCTCATATTTATACCCAGCACATCTCAGCCGCTTACTCTGCTGCCACAGAAATGCTGCAGATTTGCCCGTCCGCCTCACTGTGACCCAGGCGTGTTCCTTGCAGCACCGCAGATGGCCGTGCCTGCCGGTGGAGGGGGAAACGTCTCAAAAATCACAACGGGAACACAGCTTAGAAGCAGAACAGCAAAAACTCACTCCATTTTTTGCAGGTGTTCTTCTTTCAGTGGCTTGTTTTGTTCTGTAAGGATTACTAGTAGTCACCTTAAAACACCGATTATACTGCAATCTGTGGCCAAGAAAGAAATGATGCAAGTGAGCTTATTCTCAAGCACTAGCTAGCTGAGGAACCAACCCTTTCTTAAAACATATACCACCTGTCATTTTGCTAAGGACTAAACTAGTGCCCACTCACCAAACACCACCAGCCACCCAATAAATAGAAATGGTTCCAGAGGAATTTTTCATTTTTGCACTTTCTACCATGTTTCTTTTTTGATGTATTTCTATTATCTACATAGGAGATACCAAATTGGAAGTCAAATGTTGACAGTCAAAATCATTTTATGGAGCTTGTACCAGTGGAGACACCAGTTTGAGTCTAATAGTGTGACATTCATGTCCACTGGTCCCAGCAAGTTAAGCTGGCTGACTTCAGGGCAGCTCCCCAGGCTGGATGACAGCGGCTCGTTGAGTACATTTGGAGGGGGCCCTCTGGGACTGCGGACTTCAGAGACCAAACTCACTCCCTCCCTCACCTTCCAAATCAGGGGTGGTCAGTTGGCAGGCCAGGGATGGGAACTGGGCTATGACCAGTTTCTCTAGCACTGGGAGCGCAGGCTCACTGTAGGCAAGCAAACTGGGGGTATCGCTCCATGTGCAAGGGAGGGTGGACAGCAGACTCATGTAAGGGCTGTAAGGTCCACACAAATACGCTGCACAGATACAGCTCTTTACCTATTCCATGGAAAACATCATGGTTAAGAACAAAACCAGTATGCAAGCACTCAGAGGTGGTGAAGTCTGAATTGCCTTGCCAGTCTGTATATAGAGACAAGAGGGGTGCTGGCCAGTAGGTACCTGTTCTGCTGATACATGTAGGGCTTCATTATAGTCTCTAGGCTTTCCCTCAAGAATGTCTCACATCATTATATTTCCTAAGAGTACTGTATATTGCCATGTTTTAACATTGTTAATTGACATTTCTTTAGGGAAAAGTCTAAATTATTTTCAGTTTCAATAATGTTTTATTTTTTACCCGCCCTCAAGAACTGTGTCCTTCGTGGCTTCATTGTCAGACTGGCAGCCCTTCCCTGGCGTGTCAGCCTGTCTGTGTCCTGGAGTTAACCCACCGGGCAGCAGCGATAACTGCTTGGCAACTGTCGAACAGGGCACCCTGCTTTGCATGAGGTGGAACCTGCATTGTAACTCTAAGTGGTGGGAACAGATCTGCATTTTTTAAAACCAAAAGGCAGGAGACAGGAAAAGTTGGCACTAGCTAAAAGGGTTCATTTGTAAACCTTTATACACTCCCCCGCTCAATAAAACTGAGCATCTGATAATGTGCCACAGCAATTGCCTCAAATACTGATACTTGCCTTCCTGCTGCTCTTGGTGGTGATCGAGTGCTTTCAGCAGCGTTTATCCTGGTTTGTGCAGTGGCTCTCCATACGTAACGAAATAGCTGAGATTCCTCGGCGTGTGGGCAAGCGGGCCTGCGCTGCCTGGACAGCCGGTGCAGGCAGCTGCTGGTCTGACGGGTCACGGTGGGAGCCAGCCCCGGCATTTCAGAGCTGGATTTGGATCAGCAGTGAGAAATATCAAGTGGGAGCATGTGGCCAGCTTCAAACTAATGGCTGTGAAAATTCACCAGTTGCATTTTTCTCTTCCTCGTAAAGAATAGCCAGTTTCCTTATTTGTGTCCATTCAGTGCCGGCTTGGCCTTTGTGATTGCGAAGGATTTAGCCTCAAAAGACAGTGAAAGGAAAATTAAGTTTCAGCCTTCCTATACAAAATAATACTAATTACACTTCTACAGCTTGGCATTTCCACTGAAGACTGGCAGTTTGCTACAGTTGCAAATCTGAGTGAAAGACTGTTTAAATTTGGAAATCAAGATGCTTTGATAGATACAAAAATGTGTGACCTGAGAATGTATTTGCATCTAAAAAAGAAACTGTGAAGCTGGGGAAAGAGAAGTGTAACGCAAGTCTTGCTTCTTCCTAAGATAATTGCGGGAAGGGGAGAGGACAGAAGCACCCCAGACAAAGAACAGAGACCTCACATGGCTTGAGATACTGCAAAACACACCGGCATTTCCAACGCTGGTGCTTCAAGTAAATGCTCCCCTCTTACAAACGGTGATCGCTCGTCCCTACCGCACGTCTGCAGGAATTACTCCGCAGAAGGATGCGCTTAGGGGAGGAAACAGAATTAGAAAAATCTCTTCAGAGAACAAGCACCCAAGACTCAGATGTCTTCTCTGATTCACCTACAAGAAATGTGTTTAACAGACTTTCTCCTGTGGGCCTTACCATGTGAGTCTTTATTTTGTTTACGCTAACAAAGAAGTGTAAGTGGAGATCTGAATGGAGCTGGCACAGTGGAGGCAGACATCTGAGTCTTTCATTTTATGTTACAAGTAAATAACAGCATAAACTTGATATTACTACTAAATTGGTTTTTTTGCTGTCTGGAAAACTTGGAATTCATAGCACTGTAAATGGCATTTCTATAATGTAACTGTCTGGGGGGTTTCTATAAACAAAATGCCTCTTGTTAAAAAAGCAAACAAACCACAAACCCAAATACAACATTGTTAAGGTGAGTAATTTAATGAAACGTCTTCTCATTCAAATGTTCTTTTTACATTGGAAAAGTTCAAATAATTAAAGAAACTAAATAATGCAGTTTGCATGTATATCCCAACACACTACCAGAGAACTGCTAGAACTCATGACTCTGGAACAAATAAAACAAACAGTCTGTTCTTCCTACTCATCTTTTTAGCAGGACAGCAAGCTGGGTCTGGCTTCCTTCAGCCTGTGCACGGAGGGATGCATGGTGTACACCAAGGTCAAATCCACAGTCTGCCTGTGGCAGGCGTGCCGAGGCGATCCTCACCTGGCAAGGTTTCTCTAAGGGGCAGTTTGCTCCCGGATGGAAAGCTGACGTTGGTTTCCTAACTGCACATCCTATGCTAATCCTTACACAAGCAGCGCTTTCTTCAGTAAGAATCTGCAGTCTGGCAATGTCGAGTTGCCTTAAAAATATATTATTTCCTTGAGATGATTGTCAAAAGCTTACGTTTTTGTAAAAGTCTGGCAAACTTTGCCATCATTATATGCAACCTTCCGCTGGATGCTCTTGCTTTAACATGAGTTCTGTTAAAATTTCCGTATGGTTGTAATACAACAAGATTCAATTCACTACTGTTTTTTGGGGGCTGATAATGGCCAAATAAAATATCTGGTTTAGGACTCTCTCTCTCCTGAGAGTTTTATTGGAAAAAATGGAATTATGGGCTGCACCAAAAGCAGCGTGGCCGGCAGGTCGAGGGAGGTGATTCTGCCCCTCTGCTCCGCTCTGGTGAGACCCCACCTGCAGTGCTGCGTCCAGCTCTGGAGCCCTCAGCGTAAGAAAGACACGGACCTGTTGGAGCGGGTCCAGAAGAGGGCCATGAAAATGATCAGGGGGATGGAACACCTCTCCCATGAAGAAAGGCTGAGAGAGTCGGTGTTGTTCAGCCTAGAGAACAGAGAAGAGAAGGCTTCGGGGAGACCTTATTGCAGCCTGTCAGTACTTAAAGGGGGCTTGTAAAAAAGATGGCGACAAACTTTTTAGCAGGGCCTGTTGCAACAGGACAAGGGGGAATGGCTTTAAACTAAAGGTGGGGAGATTTAGACTAGATATAAGGAAGACATTTTTTACGCTGAGGG